AAAACTATTTTTTACACAGGCAGCATATACTTAATAAATTATTAAAATATTAAAATAGCGCTTTATTAGTAAAAATATTTTAGTACTTATAAATTTAAACTTAGTACTAATAGCTAATAAATAAAAAGCTTTAACTAATAATTAGCGCTTTTACTAATTTTTAATTAAATTTTTAATATACTTTATGCTTTGCACTTACTTAAATATTATTTATATAATATTTTAATTTAATAAGTTTTTATTAAACTTTTTATAATACTACTTAAATACTGCTATTTAAGTAGTTAAGTACTTGCAGAAAATAATTATTTAAAACTTTATTATTAATTTAAATAGCTTAAAATTTTTTATTAGCTATACTAATACTAACTAAAAATATAAAAAAAAAAATTCTTTTTTTAGTAGCTATATATTTATTGCTTTGAGAAAAAGTAAAGTCAACGCTAGAGCAGATTATATAACGCAGTAAAAAAAATTAGTATAAAATTATAGTTTAAATACTATACTTAATACCTTAACACAGTATTAAAGCAGTAAAATTTATATAATACTAAGTTAACTAAATAAATTATTTTAAAAAACTTTTAACAATTGCTATTAGTAAACTTAATATATTATTATCTAAAAATTATAGTAATAAAACTATTAACTAAATTGTTTGGGCAATGCTAGGCAGGTTAAATTAAAATTATATAAGAGTATTTTGCAGTAAGCAGGCGTTTAATAAAATTCTTAAAGCACAAAATTTATATAGCTTTTCCACACATAAAGTAATTATTATTTACTATATAATTATATTATTGCGCATTGTATAGTTGTATATAAGCTAGAAATTAAAAGTATAGTTTTTAAAAGTTTTTAGAGCAGCCTAAATATATAAGCAGTAAAAACACATATGCGCGCTTATACTATAAATTAAAAACTATTTTTATTTTTTTAAGTTTCCTATTTTCTACTATATCTATATTAACTATAAATAATACAATACTTATAGATAAACTTGTATATACTAGCTAGCAACGCGCTATTAAATTTATATATACTATATTATTTATTAAAATAGCTTTTATTAATTAGTACAAGATGCTTTTTTTTAATTATTTTAAACTAATAAATAGTAACCGCCAGTATTACAAAAAAGTATATAAATATTTTAAAGTTAATTTTTTTTTTATAATAGGCTTTTTTTATTATACTTAGTTAATTTTAACTCTTTAGTATTTTTTTACGATAAGCTGGTTACAATTAAGTAGCAGCAATATATAATTTTTTTTGCAATTAGCTGCTATATAATAATGCAAGACTTTAATTTTTTTTTTAGCTATAACTAGGCTGCTTTTATTAAAAATTAAAAAAATAAGCTTTTGTAGCTTGCAAAAGATATTAAAAATAATATAAAATTAGCAGAATATTAAAAATAGTTTTTTATAAACTATAGTTACTAGTAGTATAATAATTAGAAAATGCAGCTTTTTAAAATAGTTAACTTAGTATATAGGCAGATATAAGTAAGCAAGCAATAAAGCAATAAAGCAATAAAGCAATAATGTATTACACAGGCGAGTTAGTTGCCTAGTTAAGTTAGTTATAATGCTAAAACCTTACTAAAATTAGTACTATATATAATAGTATAGCACTGTAAAAGACCGTAGCAGTAAATTATAATAAGTTAATTTATTTAGAAACTATTTTTATTTTTTACTTGCACATTTGCGCGTTATACTTAGCTTTACTATAATATTTATAGCGCTTTTAAAAAGGCTTACCTGCTTTAATATACGCCTGCTTTTTTATTTTTTTTTTATTACTACGCGCTTTAAACTTTTTTAAAATTATTAATTAAAAACTATTTTTTATTATAAGGGTCCCTTTTTTTTATACTTGCTTTTTTTTATATAATTTTTATTATATAGCAGCTTTATTAGCTGCTTAAAGCTTAGTAATTTTTTTTTACGCTAATATAAGCTTATGCGCAACTATAGCTGCACCTTTTAAAATTTTTTTAAAAGCTTTAACTATTAAAATAAAAAAATTATTTAAGTACTTTTAAATCTTTATCTTAACTAGCATTAATTAAAACTTAAATTTTAAAGTATTGCTTAGTATTTTTAACTCCTAA